ATAGGACTAAGGATCTAGGAGAATGCCTTATGTGCCTGCTTTATGTATTACAGCTTTATGAGTATTGCATGCTAGAATTGAGTAGACAGCAGTAGGATAGCCTGATTAGGTTATGCCTGATAGTGGGAGCTTAGCATCCTATGCTAGTGCAGTTTCTTGTTACGAGAATAGTTTTGCTTGAGTCTGTTTCCCTTGTCCGAATGTTGCTTGCTTCGTGCTTTGTGGGAATCTGAGTGTAAGAGTATGTGAATAAGATTTACACTAAATTCATTCAATGGAAATCAATTTAGTGTTTGTTACTTAGTTCAATTCACAAAACAATTACGGATTTTGCAATTTGATAACTTGAATGACCTAACCCTAATTCAAATGGCCAATAAGAATCACAATTAGAATCAAACATTAAATTGAAACAAAATCAAATTCACTAGGTAGGAATTAGAAGCAAACATCAAATCACATGATTGAAATCACAACTAAAAAGTCAAGACATGCAGTTGGAGAAACTAAGGTTCTAGCCACTCATGACTAGAACAAGATCACAAATCTAGAAAATGAAATTAAAGTTCTTACAAAATGAAATCAAATGTTCCCAAGTGTTAATCAACTTCAAAATCCTCAATAAATTCGCCTTCTCTACTCCAAAAGTCGACCCCCAAAGTAAAAAGTCGGGTTCCCCCTTTAAGAATGGTGAAAAACTGCTTTAAAACTCATGTTTACGTTTACACGACCCGTGTGAATTAACACTGTCATTTACATGGCCCGCGTAAACGCAAAAATATATTGTGCATAAATCTACGTTTACACGGCCCGCGTAAACGCAAGGCTTCCATTTACACAGCCGTGTAAACGTCTGTAAAGCCAAAATCCTCATTTCTTTGATATCTTGCTCCTCGGTGCTCCGCAAGTCTTGAAATTTTGTCCGCAACTTTTATTTACCTCCTCCAACAAGATCTTACCTCCAAAAGTCCCTAAAATATCACAAAAGTATTTGAATGAAATTGCCTCATGAAAAATCCCGAAAATACATGCAAAATGCATGAGTTTAAACCTAAATACAATGCACTTTTATGGATTAACACTACAAAATGGGTACATGAAATGCACCTAACAAATCAGTTCTGGTTCCGGGTTTAAATATTGGCTTTATCCCGGTTCTGGGTTTGGGTCCATCGGGTCAGGGTAAACCGGACCCGGTGTTAGGAAATGGAACCACTTTTAGGACTGGAACCGGTTTTTGTGAAACGTTTAAAAGATGTATATCTCATTCGTTTCAACTCAGATTGACATGCGGTTTTTTCCAACGTGTAGTTTAGAGTTTGTACATGAGTTTAGACTATAAATTTACCATTTTTAGTTTTATATTCATTGACTTATAGTCTCCAAAAATCGAGATATCAAAGCTGAAAGTTCTAAGTTTTTCAGTTTTTTTTTTTGTATTCCGTGAAAAGTTTCTAAAATATACATAACTAATTCGTTTAAAGTCAGACTGACGTGTAGTTTTTTTTTTTTTTTTTTTTTTTTTTTTTTTTTTTTCAACTTGTAGTTTAGTGTTTGCACTTGAGTTTAGACTATAATTTTGTCATTTTTGGTTAAACTGAAAATTTTCAACTTTTCAACTATTTGTTTTTGTACTTTGTATTATGTGAAAATGTTAACATATGCATATCTTATTTGTTTAAAATCGAATTGACCTGAGGCTTTTTTTTTTGTTCAGAGTGTAGTTTAAAGTTTGTATATGATTTTAGACTATAATTTTATCAATTTTGGTTTCATATTCAATCAATTATAGTCCCCCAAATTCGGGATATCAATATAAAAATTTTCAAAGTTCAACCCACTAAATAGTAAGTAATTGTAAAATAATTACGGGTTTTTTTGGTTCTAAGGAGCTGTTTGTTTACCTCTTAATTGATAATTTAAGAGGCATCCTCTTAAAATATCAGATGTGAGGTGTTTGGTAACATCTTATAAAATACCCCTGAATTGAATAATTACCTCTTAAAAAATCAGACATCAACCCACATCTGAATTAAAAAAAGACGCTTGTGCCCAAGAAAAAAACACGCCTCTTTTCCTTTCTTTATTGTAAGCGCCTCCAATTCCTTTTGTTCTCATCAGACATCGGCGCCACTTCTTTCTTCCACCCCTCCTCCTCCATCTTCGATCTCGTCTGCCATCGCCGCTTTCCCTGTGTCGCCTTCGCTTTGGGCTTCGACAGCTCCACCTCCGGTATCTTCTGCAGGTAATGGTTTCTCTTTAATTCGAGTTTAATGCTTGAAAATCGAGTATGATAGTTGCTTCCCTTGAAAATCGAGCACAAAGCTTTATTTGTTTTCTTTTTGTTAAATCCAGATGCTATTTGAAAATCGAGTTTATAAAGATTTTTTTTTTCTGAAAATCGAGCACATAGCACAGAGCTTCGTTTGTTTTCTTTCTCTTTTTTTTAGTCATTAATGCAGGTTTATGTTTACATGTATAAATTGAAAATATGAAGGTACATGAGTTCACTCATTGAAGCTCTTATGCACACCAACTGTTTGTGAAAAGTCCTGTAAGGTTCATCAATGTATGTTCTGTGAAAATCCCAGACAGAAAATACCCTCATCTTTGACCTCCAATGGTCTTACAACAAAAAACCAAGTCCATAAATCACAAGCATTATCATTGGCACACATATGGAATATACCATTTGGTGAAGAATAAAAAGATGACAACATCAAATTGACTTTGAAATTGTACACCTTCAAAGGACACACTTTTGCATAATGGCTTTTTAATCAAATCATAAATGCCCATCGATAATTTTGATGTGTAGGAAATAAATCTTTGGTTCAGAAATTCAGACATTTGGGTTAAAGACACATGAGATTGGTGGTGGTGTCTTTTTTCCATGGATTGAAAGAAATGAATTTGTAAAAATTTATGTTTAATTTGGCTATATTGTAATTGAAAGAAATGAATTTGGAAGATATTATGTTTAATTTGGTTATAGCACAAAACAAAACTATATAAGGGTAAAATAGTCATTTTTATCATTCAGATAATAATTCAGATGTTCCAACCAAACAACATGTTAAAAATTCAGATCTTAAAAGTTCAGACCCTCTTAGAAATTCAGACCTCTTAAAAGTTCAGATCTTAAAAATTCAGATCCTACCAAACAGCCCCTAAACCCACTTTATCCGGTTCCAAGCTATCTACTTTGATGTTTTCGGGTTCTCTGGTTCTAGACTCATTTTACCCGGTACCGTACCCATAACCAAACCAGAACCGATTGTTATATACCGATCCGGTTTCCTGTTCAAAAAAATCTCGTTAACCAGTTCTAGGTTTTCCAAGTGCAGGTCCAGGCCTATCCGGTTCGTCTTTAGATCCACTTTCATTGCTAGTCATGGTTAGAACTACAACCAATCACGACTACACCACCGCACCATACCCGAAATGATGTTTATGACGGTCAAAATGCCTTGGACCATGGGTCCCACTCGATAACATAATGCCATTGGGGCGCATGGGAAAACAAAACGCCTTTGAGGAGCGTGGGAATAGTTTTTATAAAGGAGAGCGCCACCGGATTTGACAATATTTTAAACGAAGGAAAATAAAATTGGGCTCTAATTTTTGCAGTCCTTCATCTATGAGTCGGCTCCAAAAAAATAGGCTCACAATTTTTTCATCTGGGCACCTTGAAGTGTTTCCACAAAGCCATCTTATGCACCCTTTTAGATTTCATATTCTTTCTAATATGCTACTAATCTTATAATAGTTTAACATTTAATTTTTATAGTTATCTCGTGTTAGTCCATAATGATTTTGAATAACTATGACATTGATGACAAATTCAAATACCATCATTCTCATTATGAGTTCGAAAAACACTTCTTATGCAATCTAATGGGTCGTTTGATATGGTATCTATGTGGGTTCAAAGAGAGACTGAGTCCATAAAATACCAATTGACATGTTTGATAAGAATTATATATTTGTGTTTATGGTTCAGGTTAAATGTTTTTTTTATGCATATGACAATGCGTGTTTGGATTTTGTATTACATTTTGTATTTGGATTCTAAATGATGTATGTTTAATTTGGATTTTATGTGATAATTTGTATTTTTATAATTATTTTATCCAACACAAGAGACATCACAAGGATAATATGATCATTTTTATCATTTAACACAATCAGTCAGATAAATAATCAAACATCATAAACTCAGTCAGATATGAACTCAGTCAGCATTTCTAACTCAATCAGCTCTAACCTAATCAACAACTATCAAATGACCCCTAAATGATTAAGAAAAAAAAACATTTTTAATTGGAATTTGTATTATGATATGACTCACATATTTTATGTGGTCTAATTTGGTTGGATTGCTTTCCTAATAATTGATTAAAGGAAACCAAGATTGTATATGAAGAAAAGTTATGTAGATATAAGAAACTGACAAGTGAAAATAGTTTATCATAGAGATACAAAATACTATAAGAGATGAATGTAAAACTACATGTTTTTATGTTTCTTTGAATAATCAATATTTTTAACGACATGTTACTCCAATGTTGAATAATATGGGATTTGAGGCAACGTCAATTCCATTTTAAAATGTTTTATATAAAGTGATCACTAATAGACCACCTTAATGATGATATTTTTAGGTGATGAGATCTCTCCAGTAAATGTGATCATTATCGTGCATTCTATTAGAGCAATTTTATATTCAAGATACCTTGTACATAAATATTAATATAGTTGACTTGTTATGTGATTTTATATAAACTTATTGACTGTTTATATAGATATCACAAATATCTTATGTATAAAAATGAATAAATGTAATCAGTTACTTCATAATATTCAGAATAATTAGTGCAGTTTACATCAGAAATACAATCATAGTGGCCGTGCACGTAATAAACATATGCTTTTTTTACGATTTAATAATTTATCTTTAATTAAGAAATTTTTACATCGACTTGTAGTAAATAACCAATCGAGATCTTCATTCGCAATTAGGGAAAAAGTCAAGAACCTTAGTGCAAAACAAAGAGTTCAAAGGTATTAAATTGACAGATACCCAACTTTAGAGTCCATTTTTGCAATAAAACTCGAAGAAAAATATGCCCGTTCTTCCAAAATCCCGATGAACAAACGTCCCGAGGTATCAAATTCAACGCAGAGAGATAACCAAACCATCAGGTTTTAGGTTCTCGAATTTGTCTTTCATTGTTCGAATTTTGAGTATATATACGATGCTGTTAAATCTGTTCCAGTCTAGAAACTTTTCTCGTCTCGGTGATTTCAATAATCGTCTCAACTGATTTTGGTTTTCGCAGTGAAATCTTAACATTTCGATGGAGGATTCACAAGATGTCTGCGATTCCGTTGAAAGGGATAACAGTACGTGTTCGACATCCACCAGTTCTGGTTACCGGTTATTCGATCGACAGACTACAATTCACCAGTTGATGGGCGGCGGAAAGGGTACAATCCGATTCACTTCTTAACCTACTATTTTTTTTTTTTTTGTATCATACGAAGTAAATCTTCACACAAAATCGTTTCTAATTTCTAATTAAGTTGGGTTTAGTTAAGTAATTGTTATCGAAATTAGTCTCCTTCACCAAAACATACACAAATTAGTGAAACTATGATTTTAATTTCCTTTTCGTCGGATATTCGTTTTCTTGATTGTTAGCGGCTGATGTTCTCCTGTGGAAGAGGCAACATATTTCATGGGGCATCATTGTTGTTGCAACTGTTGCGTGGCTAATATTTGAGCGATCTGGATTATCGTTCTTAACAATCTGTTCCAATGTTCTGTTGTTCTTGATCGTACTGCGGTTTCTACATGCCAATTATGCTTCTTTCAGGGATAAGTATGGATGCTTTTACTTGTATACATTGTAAGTCTTGAATAATAAGCTTTTCTCACTATAGCTTTTCTAAAATTACAGACAAATCCAGACATTACCTGAACTCGTATTGTCGGAGGAGATGGTTAATTATGCTGCTGCATCTTTTCGTATGAAAGTAAATTATTTGTTACTTATGGCACATGACATCACCCTTGGCAAGGACTTCAGGCTCTTTTTCATGGTTTGTGATCACTGAGACTTATAACTGATGAAATTATTCCTTTGTAATGTGTTTGAAATACTTGGTTTTGATTTGTATGATTCAGGTGGTGGGGTTTCTGTGGATCTTATCTGTTCTTGGGAGTTTAATATCTTTCTTCACGATTGCATATATAGGTATGAACATAACTCTCCATGACATCTAATGATTACATTTAATATCATGAGTTTATGACTGTTAATGGTTTTTAGATTATATTATATATATATATATATATATATATATATATATATATATATATATATATATATATATATATATATATATATATATATATATTGGGTGTTAAATGTCTGATTTCAGGAACGATTCTGTCAGTTACCTTACCTGCATTGTATAATAGATATGAAGAGCAAGTAGACAGATGTGCTGGAAGTATCCACCGAAACTTTTCAAGGCATTACAAGATAGTGGATGACAATGTTATGAGCAGATTCCCAAGAAATGTAGTACCCAAGGATAAACCAATGTAATTCTATTAACACTTCCATTTAAAACATTACATGTATAATAACATTCATTCGCAATTCCTTGCTTGTTTTTTTTTTTTTTTTAGTTTTTTTTTTCCTAATCTGTTACAACAACGCCTTGAGACTTAAATGGGGTCGATTTAAATTTAAAGTTGGTTGGACTTGATTTTATTTTATTTTTTTGTTCAAAACAAAGTGAATATTGCGGTTGTGATTACTCATCGTGAGGTAAAAATAAGAGGAAAAAGATGTATGCTATGCTATTAATCCTTTTGATTGGTTAATAGATATGACATGTTACGAGGATATTTGTCTTTCTTAATTAATAATTATATACTTTCATCAAATCTCTATCTATATAGCTTTTATAACAAGGATAATTTGATTGCCTGAGGCCCCCAACCCATAAAAGAAAAAAAAATGAGGGATATCGTTTTATATATTAGAAATTTTCCATAATATTATTATATCTCTAGCCCTTCTAAGTTATAAGACCAATTTTGTTTGGGCCGGACCACTGGAGTTTTTAATTTTTTTTTTTTAAATAATTACAAATTGATTATTCAAAAACTATAAGAAACATGTAACTGTTCATCATAGTATATGAGAAAAAGTTAACATATTAGATTATAATTTAACTAAGTGGTTATATGAACGATGAGAAATGAATTTATTCATCCTACACTATTAGTATGATCGAAAGTGTGGTTGAAGACTTGTTTGAAAAGAAAAATAGGTATCATTCAATCATCCCACATCATTTATTAGGAATGAAAAAAGATGATGATATTGATATGTATGTATTGTAAGATTATATGAATTCTAAAATCCTTGATAACGTACGTTTCATTTAGTTTTAAAATAATATAGAAAAATTGGAAGTCGAGATATTGTTCAAAACTTCATATTACAATACATTAATTATTTTCAACAACATAGCGAAAAATTCAATTTTAATCCATACGTACAAAATTAGATATGTCATTAATTTTGAAAATGGATATGCTTTTGTTAATGGATCAACGAAAATAGATTTGATTCATAGTATCATGTAAAATAAGGTTAAATTATGGAGAACATAAAATCCATATGAGCATCTCTTTCCAATCATATCAACTTTTAAATCCATGCGACTCATGTGGTGTGGGGTAATGCAAACGTGCATGGTGCACCTACATTTTGTCCGATCATCATGTTCGAAAAAGAACTAACAAAATTTCAACGGAAAATACTACTCTATTATTTATTTCTTTATGCTTGTAAACTGTAATCATTCATCTTTGCTGCAAAGATGTTTGGATGCATATTTCGATGATGTAACATGTTATATGATATTGAATAATCGAAATTATATATTTCATTGTATATTGTAATAAATCGGATTAGCATGAGACTGTTTGGATATGTTCTTTGTAGTAATCTAATAATCCTAACTCCAATGCATTAATTCTCCGTCTTAGTTTTCTCATTTATATAATCAAATATATTTACTCAATTTTTTTTGTATCGAAAAGCAAAAATATTATATAAAACACGAAAGCAGTAGCAAGATGCTACTAGCATGGTCCATTTACACGTTAAAAAGGGAGAGCAATAGTACCATTTATGATTATTCCAACTGAGACAATAAAAAGTTAAGCTTTATGCTTTTAATCTAATTGAATAAGTTAAATTGAATATAATCTCCGCCGTTACTTTTTATGCCAAATAAAATGCAATAATCATTTTTACAAGTTTTCGAATGTTTACTTGACAAATTTTGAATTTTATTATCGGCTCATTAGTTATTACAATACTCTATGTCAACATTACAGTGAATAATATGATAACTATATATATATATATATATATATATATATATATATATATATATATATATATATATATATATATATATATATATATATATATATATATAATACATGGGACATGAATTGAATGATTTCAGGAAAGTGTTCCTAGCTTGTTACTCTGTTGGGGATTGATAATCTCGGTTCTCTATGATGACATACGTGTTATAGAAGAAATTGATCGGTGCATCTGGATCCCCATCCGATAATTGAAGAGAAAAGTAGAATCAATTTTTAGCAAATAACAAGAAGCATTAATTTAACCATGGGTGTCTTTCTGAAACGTATTCGCTTAAACTATGTAATGAAGCTCCACCATTACCAACGGAGAATACTTCAATCCTTCCTTGCATTGCATGATCCGAAATGATTGTTTCACGTCCACTGCTGTTTAGAAAATAGAAAATCAATTAAGAAGAAACTTATTATAATACAAATTTAAAATCTCAATCAAATTTAAACTAAATTTATAAATGATATTTGTTATCATCTAAAATAGATAGGAGAATAGTATGAACAAAAAATACGAGTCTATTTAATTTTTCTATTTATTATTTTGAGCGTCTGCATCTAACCACAAATCTAGGGTTTCATCCATTTGATTATAGTCAATAGAGAGAATTGAGTGTATCCGATTAAGGCTTGAATTAAGGGAATTTCTGTATTGGCTTTGACTTAGTCGTATGGACTATTGTGGGAACCGTGAAACGAAGAAACTCAACATCAAGTACGTGTTTTAATAAAGCAATTTTCAATAATATATGAAATTATGTTATATTTTAACACCATATAGCATTCGATCTATAAATTTGTTTAACCATTTTAACTTTTAAAACATAGCTATATATAATATTGAATCTATATGTCCAAAAATAATTATTAAATGATATTACTAATAATATTTTATAGGGTCGTACCATTATCAAGTTGATATTTTATATATTTATTATTATTGTGATTATTAATAAATAATATCAATTTATACACAACCTTTTGGACTAGCTGAATCATTTTGTTTTTTACCTAAAGATAAAATTTATATTTTATAAAATTTAAGTTTATAAAATTTAAGCAATTCTTCTATTTTCTAAGGTATAACTGAATTCATTACATAAAGAAGAGAACTTGTTTGTCAACCTTTTTTGCATCTCTCTCATGCTCCTAAAGGCTACTAATATTTTAGAGTATTTTAATATAAAACCATTACCTTACATAAAACTATAAAAAAATATTTTGTATGAATTTTGGCTAGTTGTTCAAGTGCATTTTTCCTCTCTTCTTCTCAAGAAAGTCGTAGCTTTATATGCTCTCATCATCTCTCCTTTTAAAGCTAGTTTTTTTTTTAATTTTTTTTTTTAATTTTTTTTTTTTTTTTTTTTGTGATTAGAAGCCCTCTTTAGTTGTCTCGTTTAGTGCTTATTTGAATTAAGTACTTAAAGGCTTAAGACACTCAAAAATACAATAAGAAACTACCATTCCAATTGCCTTATCTTGATGATTGATATTTATAGAGAAAATCATACTCTTTGATTTTTCTATCTTCATCAACACTCCAAAAACAAGTGTGTTTAAAGGCTTCAAAAATTGCCATTCTAAAATATTATTTGATTGTTTTAAGATCTTTCTAACCTCTATAAATGGATCCTTAATGGCTTGGTTTTGTTATAAACTTAAAATAAACTTATTATTTTTATACAACTTCCATTGCATTTTTAATAAAAAAAAACATACTATGTTTTGTAGCAAAATTCAACAGCGGTATCAAAGTCAGATTTTATATGTTAGAATGATTTATTATGTTTGATAATCTTTGATTTTTGGAAAACAAACATGGATTTTTTTTTTGTTAAGAAAAGTTCATATTTGTCTTCTTTGGCAATTTGTTATTTAAAATTGTTTATTTTATATAAAACTATTTTTCATACAATTTGGTTATATAAAATCCGCTTTAGAAAAAACAAATAGTTGTTTGTTAATATATTTTATATGTTGTGTATAAACAAACAATTTGGAGTTTTGTGTTGTGTTTTGTTGATATTTATTTATTCATAAAATTTAATAGATAAATAGGTATTTTTTTCATTTATTAATTTGTTGTAATAAATTAGTTAGGTTAGCTGTATTTCTTTTTAAATTTAACAAGAATAAGAAATAACCTCATTGAAGCTCTTGGCTTAACCATTTGAGGCTATATCCCAACCATGAGCTTCTACTTTTGGTTTTGGGCTTAATTATAGTCTTAATGATTTAACCGTTCTAATCTTCACAACATGAAGGCTTGAAGTTATTTTTCAAGCAAGAGTTGACTTGGTAAGTGGAAGCTTGAAGACATTTTGAAGTGTCCCTTAAATCCTTTAGAAAATACATAATAATTCTTGTGATGTTTCACAAAAATTATTACTAGACAGGGCTTGGTTTATACACATTTTTAATAGCATGTGATGTTTATTGTATGTTATTATATATTATGTTTTATGCATGAAAATAAGTTTTACATATCAAATAACATTTAACATAAGATAATATCACTTGGAGTTTGAGTAAAATATATTTAAAATATAACATAAGATGTTTATAATGAATATTGGTTTATCGTCACCCAAATTTTGGTTTATCAAAATATGATTTTTATCATAAGATACAAAAAGTTGAGTTTATAAAATAAAATGAGTTTATTCCACAAATTCATGAAGTCATAAGTTTTTTTTATTATAAAAGAGAAATTTAAAATTGTGATTTTAGAACTCATCCAACACTCCAAATCTTAAGAATAAAAAGAAATTTTATTTAAGACTATTACCGGTTCTTAAAACCACTCTACGACTAAACTTCAAAATATTAGATTTTCGTTTATAATTGATTGTAGCTAATGGTAAATAAAATAAAGTTTTATTTGGTACCTAAAGAACATTATAACAACACTCGATATCATTTGTGTGGTCTTAGTGGACGATGAGTCACCTAACCACTAGAATTGTTTTATGATGTTCGGGGTAGTTTTGTAGTTTCTGGAGACTAAAGAGTCACATTGTCACTGGTTGCAATACTACAAGTTGTTTCAAGTAGGATGACTTGATGAAAATCTTGTATGATAAAGGTTACTTAAGCATAAAAGGTCTGAGGCATAGATGTGATCAAACATGCCAAGATAAGCAATAGTTATTTAGGATCTTATTATCTAGGAATTACATATAGTATGCAATTAGTAATCGCTATCTACCGAGTTTGATTAAGTGGA